ATTTGCTATCTCGGTCAGTTCCTGTACTTGATATGGTTGAAGAGGTTATACCACCTCCTAGTGGTGATCGTTGGTATGATAAACTTTGTAGAAGAATTGTGTCTAGTCCCTTGAAGTATCCTCAGTGGAGAATGTCTGGTGGTAAACTGTATAAATATGTCTGTCCGAGTCATGGGTTTTTGGTTGATGAAGTAGACAATTGGAAAGAGGTTGTTCCTAAGAGTCAGCGATTGGAAGTGCTGAAGTTGTGTCATGATAGTCCTTTAGCCGGTCATATGGGAATCCTGAAGACTTACAAGCGGATTAACGAGAAGTATTATTGGCCGAAACTAAAGAGTGATGTGTCTCGTTACGTTGGACGTTGTTCACTGTGTGCCATGCATAAGGTGGAACAAGGTAAGCCCAAAGGCTTCATGACCCCTCAACCTAAAGCTACTTAACCATGGGAGATCGTCGCAACCGATCTCATGGGACCTTTCCCAAGATCAACTCAAGGCTATAAGTTTATTTTAGTGGTAATGGACGTGTTTAGTAAATTTTCTCTGGTGTTTCCGTTGCGATCCTCGAAAGCTGTACATGTCGTTAAGAAGATAGAAGAAGAAGTCTTTCTCATATTTGGAGTTCCGCGTCTGTTATTATGTGATAACGGTGTCCAGTATACTTCGGGTATTTTCAAGAAAACGATGGAAACCTATGGTGTCTCGGTCCGTTATAATGCGTTGTATCACCCACAGTGCAATCCTTCCGAACGTTATAATCGAACCCTTAAAACCATGATGGCAACTTATGTAGCTGACAACCATAGGAAGTGGGATGAAAAGTTGGCCAAACTAGCATGTGCTACCCGCACTGCCTACCACGAATCTACTGGTCAAGATGCTTACTTCATAAATTTCGGTCGGAAGATGATAGTGGATGGACGAGATTTTTCTCGAAAGGACAACCTCGGAGATCCGGAGGACGAAGTAGCTAAAGTGGGAGATGAACGATCGCATGGACTACAGGAATTATTTGCTGATGTTAGGAAACGTTTAGATAAAGCTTCGGCTAAGAGTGAGAAGACTTATAATTTAAGAAGACGTCCAGAGGAATTTCGCCCCCATCAGTCAGTGTGGCGAAGAAACTTTGTGTTGTCGGATGCCACTAAATATTTCTCGAAAAAGTTAGCTCCTAGATGGATAGGACCCTACTTCGTGAAGAAAAAAGTTTCTCCATGGACATATAGCTTAGAGGATGAAAATGGTAGAAATCAAGGCATTTGGAATGTTAAGGATCTAAGGGTTAGTAACCCGACTGATGATCACGATAATATTTAGATCAGAACAGGACGGATTAGCAAAAGTTTTGTCTGGCTTTGATTCGAATTATGTTTTTTTGTCTCGTTATGTCGTTTGAGATGGTTGCTGATACAGTTGGTAATTTCTTTTGGTTTGTGGGGATGAATGTCATGTAGGTTTTGTCAGAAATATGTTGTTTTCGGGATTATGGCGTTGGAATTTGTTGGGATTTTAGTAAGCCATTCTATTAAATTAGGTTTTTCCCGAAGTCACATAGTTAGGATTTGGTGAATCTTGTGTTGGTAATAGCTTAGCTTTTGGATGATTCACTTAATTTCGTTGTATGCGGATTTAAATTCTGGATTACCTATGTCATTTTTATCTTGATAAACAATGGGAATTAGACTACTGTTTCAACAGATGTTTTGGTTTTTTTTTCTGTCAGTCCAAGGTTTTCGACATCCCTTGCTATTTCCTTACTAGCGAAGAAATCCAGATTGTAGCTATCTCTGTCTTTCACATCGAGACAACAATTTTTGGTTTTGTCGTCGCTAGGTGAGTTGTTTTGTCGTGCTGCGACAAAGATGCGTTCTCTTGTTGACAGTTCTGAGGAGTGTTCTCTAGAACTGGTTTGGGTTGTGGGTTTTGTGGTTGTTAGTAGTATTTCGGATATTTTGGGAAGGGGAATATTGTGGTTTTTACTAGGTTTAAGGTCCCTTTATTTTTTTGTGTAAGGCCCAGAACTTTGCAGCGTGCGTGTGGGGTTCACAGTGACTCTCTTCAATGGGAAGTGTACTTCTCAGGCTTCGGCGTCGGGGGGTGTCATTTTCATGGACGGATCGAACTGCCGCTACGATCCCACCGGGGGTTGTAGCATTGCACGGTCGTTCGAGTCAGTCGTTTAAGTGCTGGAACCATAATTCGTCTGGTTTTCTCTGAGGGGTGCCGTCGCTTGTACGTCCAAGATGGGGGTGGCACTACTGCGTTAGGAGCAACATGGCTGTACATGTTACTGTGAGGACCCAAATTCAGTGCAGAGTTCTCTGGATACCAATCATTATTTTTCCCGTGTTTTTCCCGTTTCAGTGTGGTGCAGTACTATAACTGTACTGGGGTACAGAGAGCCCCCCTGGTGGTAAGACCTAAAGCATTTTAGTCTGGTATAGTACTATAACTGTACTGGGGTACCGTTGTCCCCCTGGTGGTAAGACCTAAAACATTTTAGTTTGGTAAATACTAGAATTTAATTTGGTATGGGTTATAGGTAGTGTGTCGCTAGCGCGAGGGAAAATTTCTCGTCTTGTTTTTCCTCGTAAATTTTCCTCTGGGAAAGGGGGTGTTGTTACGTTCCAAATGTTGCATTAGGCTCCATCTCTAGTTTTGCAACTGGTTAGATGTCACCTCTCTGTTTATACAAAAACAGATATGTAATATTGGTTGCCTACAGTCAAGGTAGAGAAATGAAATTTTATTAATTTTATTTTGGGGGAAAATAATTTTTTTTAAGTGCTAAGAAACTAAGGAAAAAATTCTTTTTTTATGAAGGAATTAATTTATATGAGGTTTCTAGTGATATTTTGTAAGATTTGGTGTTCCAAAATTTAGGATTTTGAATCTCGGCTCTAGTCGGCAAATCTTCGTGTGACGAGCGCTGGATAACGGCTTTTAGGTTTGAAAAGTCATTCTTTAGGTGAATTGGCGTGGAATAAGTCGCTGTATTAGAGTATTTACCGGCAACTGTATTTTGCTGTTTCCTGAGGGATTTCATTCTAATACAACGTAGCGGATGTTCCCCTAGCTTTGTGTCCTTAGCGGAAAAGTTTGTTTTGGTGTTGGAATATTCGCAGATTCGCCAAAGGGCGGTTTTACCAGCCACGTTTCATCTTTGGAATCAGTTACAATAAGGTATGTAGTTTTTGTGACATCTGTTATTTGGTGGCCAGTCCCTGGTGTCGAAAAAAAAAATGAAATTCTTTTTTTCTCTCTCGTTACAGACCGAAGATCGAGCCTTAATCACGATCCAGATAGCCAAGTAGTTTACGGCTAGTCTTTAACCTTGGTCTGGCTAACAAGGGTGAGTAAAAACATAAGATAAGTAAGAAGAGTAATAATAATATATCTATTTTATTCAAATTAATTTTGGTACAGATACATAATGAGTTATTTAAGTAGTTATTTTAGTCCCATCTCTAATACAAGATTTCAAATTCAGCAAGTGGTATCAACAAGAGTTTTTTTGGTCATCAGATAAAGTCCAAATGAATTAAATTAAATATTGAATAGATAAAATTTTATTTAGCTCAAAACAGCTGTTTAACATAAAAATATAAATAATGGATTAGATCCAGAAACTAAAATACATTTTCCTTAATCTTTTCATACATGTTTTCTCTAGAGCAGTTGTATTTAATTTTTGGAATTCGTTTTATCATTAATTATGATTAAGAGGGTTTTTTTTTAAATCAATGAATAGCTGTTAGATTAGTTTTTATTTATTGCTTTTAAATAATATTACCCCTATAATGGTCGTAGTTCCGTATGGTAATTATGGCTTTCTTTCCTTCAGGTTCAGGTTCCAGTTTCGTTTCGTTATCGTTTTGTTTTTGGGTTTTGGTTTTTCCCATTGCCTGATTTTAACCGTTTGGTGGTTGATTTTCGTCTTCCTGGCTGGACGTAGCCCATCATGTGCTCCTGATTCGACCTGGGAGGTGTTTCGACCTTCGTACTGTTCTCTGCGACGACTTCGCCCTTACAGCTTTTAATTGGACTTCCCCCCGCTGCGTCTCAGTGGACTTAGAAATTGTTAATCTCGAAGACACCCCGATTGAGGAAGTCACACAAGTAACGACGTATTTTATGTGATAAATTCGAGGTATTTATCGAGCTTTAGTTTTTCAAGCGAAGTTTTATGCGCTATTTTGTTAAATTTTCTCATACAGATAACATTGTTAAGAAAGTAAAGAAATTGCGGTCTCAGGTATTTTATATATTTACACATTTTCCGGGTATGTAAACTGCGCCTAAGGGTAGATAATTTTTTTTTACATTTTATGTCATGATCTGCACACACACACACACCTGAGCTCACGTGGTGTCGTATTTGAGTTAATACATTTTTTTACTGGTTTTAATTCACACACCAGTCCCCTTAGCGTGTGGTAAATTTTTATTAAACATCTTAACCTGTAATATATATTTATCTAGTGTTACTTGTTGATATCATATTTAAGTCAGTAATACCCGCATTACTACATTATTATCTTCTTTTAAGCCTATGGTAGAGGGAAATAACAGTGTATTTTGTTTCATTATATTTAATCATTAAATTTGATAAAATCTTGATCTCAGACAATTTGTATTTTTATTTATCTCACATGTATTTAGGTTGGTGTATTTTATACTGGTAATTTTGGCGATAAACCTATTGGTAAGTTGGTGGTTTATCATAAGCAACGTAGGGAAGGCTGTGGGCCAATTTACCTGGCGCCCCTTTGATAACTTTTGTATACTTCAATGGACTGCACGACCAGTCTCCACTGTTTGTCTAGCCGCGAGCCATTCTCATACTGTCACCGTATAGTTTTTTTGTCGGTGTACGTCTAACCTATATGTGGTGAACTAGTATTGAAAATTAGTTTTTATAAAGTGCGTCTGGTTCGCCATACATAGTAAAACCAAACGACTCAAATCAAACAAGTGAAATAACCAGAAGGAATATTGAAGATAAAATCAACCCATGCAACTTGGGAGTTGGTGTTTCAGAAGTTAAGTATATTAGAGATGGAGGAGTTGCTATAAGATGTACGGGTAATGGAAAAGAAAATGTACAGGATGTCTGTAATAATATAAAAATGTCATTGGGCCAGTCCTATGATGTAAAAGTACCTGAAAAGATGAATCCCAGAATAGTAGTGGTTAACTTAGATAAAAAGGATATAGAAGATGAAGATCTTCTAATTGAAAAAATTGTAGTACAAAATGGTATAACAACAGAACCAAGTGTAAGAGAACTAAAGGTAATCCATACTATGAAAAACATAATATAAAAATGTCATTGGGCCAGTCCTATGATGTAAAAGTACCTGAAAAGATGAATCCCAGAATAGTAGTGTTTAACTTAGATAAAAAGGATATAGAAGATGAAGATCTTCTAATTGAAAAAATTGTAGTACGAAATGGTATAACAACAGAACCAAGTGTACGAGAACTAAAGGTAATCCATACTATGAAAAACAGAAAAGGAATGGTAAATATTATATTCCAGATGGATGTGCATACCTACGAACGCATTAATAAAAATGAAAAGTTGCATATTGGTTGGAAGAGCTATTTTTTTAGAGAAAGCGTAAATGTTAAACAGTGTTACAATTGTTGGAGGTTTGGTCACCTTGCAAAAGAGTGCAAAAAAGAGACGCCCACGTGTCAGCAATGCGCTGGTGAGCATCACGTAAAAGACTGTAAATCACGTATAGTTTGTTGTGTAAACTGCAAATATGCAGAAGAAGTTTTAAAAATTTCCAATATTGATTTGAAACATAAAGCATATGATAGGAATTGTGAAGCCTATAAGAAAGTAGTAGAGCGATTACAAGAAAAAATAGGGTATCCTGAATTATCACATGGTAATTGTAAAATATAGCAATCAAGTCCAACCATTCTGTACTTAAACATTCAAGGATTTAGCACACATAAAACACAGTTATCATGGATTGTAAGTCAGAAAAAGCCAATTATTATGTGTTTATCGGAGACCCATGTTACCTCAGATTTTGCATCAAATGAAGTAGATATTGATGGCTACAACTCAGTTGTTGGTTTTTCTTCAAGTAGACATACAGGAGGAACATCAATTTATATACAAAAAAGGTATCGTTATAAAGAAATTATTAAAGAAGAAAAAGACAAGAATATATGGTTAACAGGAATACAAATAAATATAGAAAACCAGAAATATTACATCTATTGTCTGTACCATTCACCTAGTGCAAGTCATGCGGAATTTTTGGAGGAGTTGGATGCGTTTTTAGATAGCATTGAGACTGATGCTATCTTTGTGATATTGGGAGACTTTAATATAGATTTGGCAAGTATAAACTTTTACTCTATGAAATTAAATGATATTATTATTGAAAATGGTACATATCAGCTAATAAACGAATACACAAGGATTACAAAATCGACATCTACTAGGATTGACCTAGTACTTACAAATCAAAAAGACATTAGTTGCAAGGTGCTCCCAACTCTGAAGATTACAGATCATTCGATAATTGTAGCTGATCTGGGTAGAAACAATGAGACGACACTTACAAAAACCTATAGAAAGTACAATATAATGGATGTGACAGGATTTCAAATGAAACTTATGGATATGCAGTGGCCGTCAAGTTCCTCTATAGATATAAGTAACAATGCTGATATTCTAATAACTAATGTATTGTCTGCACTCGATCAGTTTGCTCCAGAAAAGTCTATTAATACGAAGGATGTTTGGAGAAATAAATTATGGTGGAATGAAGACATTGCGAATGAAATTAAAAAGAGAGATCAATATTACAAAAAGGCTATATTTACTAAAACTGATACTGACTGGGATGATTTCAAACAACAAAGAAATAGAGTCGTAGCATTAATCAGAATTACCAAACACAATTATTATCAGGAAAAAATGGATGATTGTAAGAACGACCCAACAAGAATGTGGAAAACATTAAAGGAGCTTGTAAATGGCAAAAAAAAACCATGAAGCTAAAAGTGAAATAATATTTGATGGTGGGGGGGTTACTGGTAAAGAGATAAGTGAAAGATTTAATATATTTTTTCTAGACAGTGTAAAAGACATAGCAGATAGCATTATTTCAAACAAAACCCACCAAGAAATTTGTAGTTCAATAAATGTCGACTGCAAAATGGAAAAATTCAAAATGTTAGAAATGAAAGATTTAAAAAAACAAATGAAAGAAATGAAAAACAAAGAAAGTAATGTTGATGATATTACAGTTCAAATTTTAAAGAGTTCCTTTGAAGTAATAGGCGGCAAAATTTTGCATATTATAAATGGTAGTCTAGAAAGTGGCGTATTCCCAAGTAAATGGAAGAGAAGTCGGGTTGTACCAATTGAGAAGGTTCATGGAACCGTTAAGTGTGAGAAATTTCGACCCATAAATATGGTACCACCATACGAAAAACTGCTGGAATTATGTGTAAATGATCAAATAGTGGAGTACTTGGAAAGCAATAATGTGTTAACTAAATTCCAAGCAGGGTTTAGGAGAGGAAATTCCTGTGAGAGTGCAATGCAGACGGTTTTGTTTGACTGGAAGGGTGCGCTGGAGTGCAGGAAAATGATTGGTGTGGTTTTCTTAGACTTTAAACATGCATTTGAAACCATAAACAGACAACTGCTATTGAGAAAGATGGAAAGGTATGGCTTTGGTGAAAAAATTATAAAGTGGTTTCAAGAATATTTGACTGATAGAACACAAGTGACAAAATATGGTGCCATTTCATCGGCTCAGAAGTCTCTGTATGGTGTGCCACAGGGAACTGTGTTAGTTCCTACTCTTTTCATACTGTGTATAAATGATATTGTTGATGTTGTTAAAAAGTGTAAGGTACAGTTGTTTGCCGATGATACTGTGATATATGCAATAGGGGATAAGGTAGATGAAATAATTGATATAATAAATGAAGAGATATGTAATATATTAAAATGGCTCGATAATAATTCCTTAAGTCTTAATGTAACTAAAACAAAAATGATGCTTATAAAGAATAAAAATTTTAAATTAAATAACATAATAAAAGATGTAAAGATTAATAATATTGCTTTGGAGAGAGTGGTTCAGTATAAGTATTTGGGATGTATTATAGATGAAAATTTAAGTTTTGTTGAACATTTTAAGTTTGTTACTAACAAAATAGCAAAAAAAATCTATGCATTGGGAAGAATGTCAAAAAATTTAAGTTGCTGGTCTAGGTTGACCATATATAAATCGATTATTGCTCCCCATCTCCATTTTTGCTCTACATTGCTGTTTTTAATGAATGCTTCTCAAATGAACGTACTGCAGAAAAAACCAAATAAAGCCTTAAGGATAATATTAGGATGTAGTGTATACACTAGTAGAACTGACATGCTAACAATGGCAAATGTTTTAAGTGTAAGACAGACAATTGTATGTAATAGTATGACTTTTGTTTATAAAATGTTAAATGGTCTGATACCTGTGCATTTGTGTAATAATTGTACCTTTGTTCGAGATGTACATGAACACAACACACGTTCTAGAAATAACTTTTATCTGAATAGGGTCAACACTAATTTTGGTCAGAACAATCTTTTTTATAGGGGATTAAAGCAATACAATGAATTACCGGAAAACATTAAGGCTTCTGGAAACTTAGGTCAATTTAAAAATTTATGTAAGATATATGTTAAGCAAAGCATTGTCATTTAATTTTAAGGGTATAAATTGATGTATATATATATATATATTATATATATATATATATATATATATATATATATATATATATATATATATATATATGTATATTTTTCTAGCCATGTGCTATTAATAAAGATTATTATTATTATTATTATTATTCCAGATTTAGCCAGACGGCTCACACTCCCTCTAAGGGGAAAATTCACTCATCCCAGATACCTACGGTATCAAAAGGATTGAGCTCTGGTGGGACTCTTTCTATGTTATCGAGTCCTAGGTGACTTGGTACGTCGGTGTATCTCCTAAAAATTTTCGCACGCATCTGGACGTCGAAAGTAGCACAGCTTTCTGCATGACCTTATACAGATGTTCATTTAGACCCAGCTTTTTTATGTTTTCTAGGAGGTTCTTCGGAATGACTCCAGTGGTAGAAAGAATAATCGGTATCGTCTGGGTACTTTCCATTCTCCATTGTCTTCTTATTTGTATTTCCAGATCTCTGTACTTGTACTGTACTCACGCTGAGTGCCACTGCCGTACACCAACCCCCGTGATGGATTAGCAAATCCCAGCTCGTTCATCATCATCCTTGCTGTTACCTATCCTCCATCCCGTTTTCTTACCGATCCTCAGGAGACAACCTGATGCAAAACAAAAAACCGATGGAGTAAACCAGCGAGAAAAAATCCGTTAAGTCAAGGCGTAAGAAAATGTGCTGAGGACTGAATGACCACACGACACGTGGTCCCAAACGGTTCCCTTGGGGTACCGGGCGACACCTCATTGTAAGTAGCCTTACTGCCGTAAGCGGGGCTATGCGACAGCTGACCGAATTTCCCTAGCTACTCGTGGGATCTAGATGAACCTAAATGAAATTATAAACATAATCGGGGGCGACCCGGGCGGAATCTCGGGAAGAACAGACAATAGTAGAAGCGAACCAAAAAGAAAAAGGGTTAATTCTCTTCCTGGGATCACCGACCAGATCGTTAGCTGGAGAAAAAAGGAAAAAAAACCTATCCGAATCGGATACCGCACCCTATAAAAGGAAAGAATGCTGTGAGTATTTCTCGATTATGGAGGGTCTCACATCATATGAAAGACTAGTGAACGAACTATCTAAAACAATAAAAGACATCCCAAACACCCATAAGAGTATAAAGGACATAACTTCCCGTCTAAAGAAGACCTCACTTTTAAAAAAGACCTAGTTGTGAACTGGCTCAACAAACACAAATACGAGCCAGCAGAAAATCTGACGATTGACACTGACACCCAAACTGACCCGTGGCATGGAGGCTCCCAGAAAAGAATCAGTAAATTAGATAATATCAACAGTTTTGAAACCTGGGAAGAAACGGCTAACCTGACATGGGATGACAAGGTATACAAGAGGACCAATGTAGTTATCGGTAATCCTATTACCACCGGAAACGACATCGTTAAGGTCGTCATGGTAGAACCAAACGACCCTCAAATGAGCAACAGTATTCAGAGGCTATATAGGGATAAATACCCAGAGTTGGCAGAACTTGAAGCAGATTATGAAGTACTCGAGCAAAGCACTACAATTAAATCAAAAGGGGCAAAGGAGACCAAAAAAATAATAAAAATTAAACAAAATGGGGACAGAAAACAAATCTGGGAAAAAATCAACATGGTGAAGGAAGAAGTGGGTCAACAAGGTAAGGTCGCTCTCCACCATGTTAATGCCATGTCGGTAGATGAACTCCGGAAAATGTGTGAAATAATTTTCCAAAAAACAGAGGTGACTGTAAACATCCATACTACGAACAAACGGAAGGAGAGGGCCACATACGGTATGATTGTTACCAAAAAAGATGCCGCTTATAAGGACATACTACAGACTGTGAAAACAGCTGTAAAGTCAACTGGCGCAGCAGAGGCCGTACACTCGCTCAGAAGCACAAAAGAGGGAAAACTTCTCATCACCATGGAGAAAGACCAAGCAACACTACAAAAAATAAAAACTGCCCTTGGAACAACAGAGGAAGGTCTCAGAGCATTCCAAATAGGAGAAGAACACATAACGGAAACCATACATATAAGAGGCATGGCAGAGGATGCCACGACGGAGGAGGTTATCGAGGCATTCCAAGAGCAAATAGGTAAGTGGGAAGACCACTACAAGATAGGAAAGATGCGACCACTGAGGGGCAACACCCTTGCCACAACAATTGTCATCCCGGCCAGAGTAGCTAAAATACTTTTGAGCAGAGATTTTCTCAGAGTTGGGGTATGTAGATGCAGAGTCGAGAAAAGACTAAAACTAAAAAGATGTAGCAGATGTTGGGCATACACGCATGACACCGATAAATGTCGAGGCCCTGATAGGAGTGGTATGTGTTACCGTTGCGGTAAATCAGAGCACGAAGCAGAGAAGTGTCAAGAGGAAGAAAGGTGCGTTCTTTGTAATGACGCCCATAGAACTGGCAGCATGGACTGCACACATTTTAAGAAGGCCCTTCAGGAGGCGAGATATCATGAAAAACTTAGAAAACAGCAAGAAGAATACGCGGATGTCTTCCCTCCTACGCTCACTCCCATACCTCCTTTCCCTTCTCCAAACAAGGTTCATGTTAACTCCCTTTTGGAGTCCTCCAAATCTCTATGCGACGAAGCTACAGCTACCTTTAGTGTAGTGACGTTGTCACAGGGAGTCCTGACAACTTCAGTCTAAGTGCCTGTTCCGTCATCCTATGTGACCCTTAACACATGATACTAAGGTAATGATTTCAAAATGGCTTTAACCGGGTTAAAAAGACTAAAAATTCTACAAGTGAACATCGGAAGAGCCAATCAGAGGGGCACGTACTAATCAAATTAGAAAAAGTAGCTATTATTGCCTGTTATATCTCACCCAACATAGGTAGAGATCAATACAAACAGCACATTGAATCCATAATACAAATGTCACATATAGAAAAGAATTTTATAGTCGCTGGCGACATAAATGCTAAATCTATCTTATGGGGTTCCCCACGAAATGACTATAGAGGGGATTTATGGAACGAATGGATCTCTACGGCCAATCTAACAGCGCTAAATAATGGAAAACCTACTTTTGTCCGGGGTGAAAGCCGAAGCCACATAGACATTACCCTCGTAAACGAAAGTTATGCCAATCAAATATCTAACTGGGACGTTCTTGACGAAAACATTTTTACTTTTCACAGATATATTGTTTACGAGATTGGCATCAAGGTCACGAAGAGCGGTAGGAAAAAGATAAGTTTTAACAAAGACCTATTTAAAAATAAAATTAGCAACCTACGAGAAGAAGCTACTAACTTCACAAACTACCATAAAAACCTAATACATGCATACAGAAGCAGCAGCAAGGAAAAATGTGTCACATATACTGTACCCTATTGGTGGAACGACGAGATACAGCTTAAAAGAACAAAATGTTTCAGAGTCAGGCGAATAGCACAAAGGAACAGGAGCCAAGAAAACTTGGAAGAATATAAGCGCGTAAAGAAAGAACTAAATAAAGAAATAAAGCGGGCTAAACGCACATGCTGGCAGAACCTGTGTGACACGCTGGACAACGATATATGGGGTGAAGCCTATAAAATTGCCACTAAGACACTGAGGTCCGAGGCTCCATATAACCTTTGTGTAGAAAAAAGAAAGGAAATTGCGAAAGCCCTTTTTCCTAATAAGCCCGAATGCCAATTTCTACCATATACTCTAGATAATAGACCTGACGAGTTCACCATAGATGAAATAAGATTAGCTGCCGAAAACATAAAAATCGGGAGATCCCCTGGCCCAGATGGTGTGCCACCAGAAGCCATACATATTATGGTACAGGAAAATCCTGAAGTCACCAGAAAGGTATTAAATGAGCTCCTACACAACCAAGAATTCCCAGACCAATTGAAGATTGCAAATTTAGTCTTAATCTTAAAACCTGGTAAACCACCAGACGGGCCTAGTTCATACAGGCCTATATGTTTATTAGATTGTATTGGGAAATTCTATGAAAGCCTCATAAAACGCCGCCTTGAACAGGAGCTCTTAAACACAGGAGCTATTTCTGACCAGCAATACGGTTTTAGAAAAACACGATCAGCTATAGACGCGGTAAAATTTATATGTGATACAGTCAAACAAACAAGAAATAAATGGGCAATCCTTGTTATGTTCGATGTAAAGAATGCCTTCAATTCTGCCAATTGGGCATACATCATAAGGAAACTGGAAACCGCTGGAGTGTCAGACTACCTAATAAATATAATTAAAAATTACCTCACCGACAGATATATTAAAGTGGCAAACAAAGAAAAAACAAAACTATCGGCTGGAGTACCGCAGGGATCTGTATTAGGTCCAACGTTGTGGAACGTCTTGTATAACACAGTATTGGAAATAGATTACGGCAGAGGTGTGTCAGCAATTGCATATGCAGATGACTTAGCAATACTAATAGAGGGTGACACAAACTTGGATGCAATAAATAAAGTTAATATATGCTGGAGAAAAGTTAATAGGTGGATGACAACTAACGACTTACAGCTGGCGTGTAATAAAACAGAGATAATTATATTAAAAGGGCCTAGAGCGATACCCAACCTGACTTTCCAATTTGCAAGTACGACGATAGTCCCAACCAATTGTGCTAAATATCTAGGCATACACCTTGATACAGGTCTACGATTTACCAAACACCTGATAAATGTAATCCAAGCAGCAGAACGCAGAACAGCGGCCATTATGAAAATAATGCCTAATATAGGAGGGCCAAGTAATTATAAAAGAAGAATGTACTTGCAAATAGTGCATTCGACCCTTTTGTACGGTGCCCCCGTATGGATTGAAGTCTTAAGGTTTGCCAGGTACAAAGACTTGATTACAAAAGCTCAAAGAAAGCCCCTTCTTAAAGTAGTTAGTGCGTACCGGACTACATCTACGATAGCCTTACAGGTGATTGCTGGTACGCTCCCCATTCACCTCCTAGCGAAAGAAAGAGCCATCCTATACAATAACGGCAACGGCCACCTGACACAGGTAAGAGACGAAATTAGGAACCAGATCCTTGATGAATGGCAATCTGAATGGGAGGCACAAAGGGAAAAAGCACAATGGACTAAAATACTAATACCCGATGTAAAAGCATGGTACAAATGTAGGTTCAAGAGAATAAACTATTTCTTTGCACAATTCCTGACCGGACACGGTTCTTTTAGGTCGTATACATACAGAATTAAAAAAACAAATGACGATATCTGTATGGATTGTGGTGTGACTGATGACGCGGAACATTGCATTTTCGAATGTAATGTCTTTCTACAAGAACGTCAAAGACTGAGAATTAAGCTAGGAGAGGCCACGCCCAATAATATACTGGACTTAGCTATGCAGAACAGAAAGAACTATGATTATGTGTTAGAAATAATAACGGAAATCATAAAAAAAAAGGAGACGCTAGAAAGAGCGAGACAGGATGAAGGAATAGGCTGAAAGACTAATAAAATAATTGTAATTCGCGTTTTTTGCTCATTAGACACATACTTCAGAGTTCTGTACTAATTTTATAGTGTAACTGTCCTATTTATTTACTTATATTGTTTTTTATACTGTCATTATGTCACTCAGCTACCTTTGAGACTATCTACCGAGGACTATACTAGGTTTTCGTGAAAATTGAAGACCGCGGTGGTGCTCCCGAAGTTGCATTCGCCAAGAAAAGTTCCGGGTGCGCTGCTGGAAGAGAGGGTGAGTTTAGTTGGTAGGCGCCTGAACTAACCTTATCAACATTCCAACGTTATAGTTCAGACGAATCCAACAGAATCTGGGTCCTCTTCCCAGATCTCTTTAGAAGATTCTCATCAAAAAAAAAAAAAAAATCTCTGTACTTGGCGATCTTTCCGTTGTACTTAACTCGCAGATTATTGTTGTTAGGTATCGCCACATCGATTAGAGTTGTTTGTCTTGTTAGCTTATTAACTAGCACGAGATCTGGTCTATTATGTGCTACAGTTATTATTATTATTATTATCCCAGATTTAGCCATACGGCTCACACTCCCTCTAAGGGGAAAATTCACTCATCCCAGATACCTACGGTATCAAAAGGATTGAGCTCTGGTGGGACTCTTTCCATGTTATCGAGCCCTAGGTGACTTGGTATGTTGGAGTATCTCCCAGAAATTTTCGTACACATCTGGACGTCGCGAGGAGTACAGCTTTCTGCATGGCCTTATAAAGATGTTCATTTAGTCCCAGCTGTTTTATGTTCGCTAGAAGGTTTTTGGGAACAACACCAGTAGTAGATAGAACAATAGGTAGTGTCTGGGTACTTTCCATTCTCCATTGTCTCCTGATTTGTATTTCTAGATCTCTGTACTTGGCGATCTTTTCGTTGTATTTAACAACTAAATTATTGGTGTTGGGTATCGCCACATCAATAAGTGTTGTTTGTCTAGTAAGTTTATTAACTAGTATGAGATCCGGTCTATTATGGGCCACTGGTTGGTCTGTAAGCACAGTGCGGTCCCAGTATAGCTTGTAGTTGTCATTTTCAAGCATTCTATCAGGAGCGTATTGATAATAAGGAAGATGGTCGGTATGGAGAAGTCCCAGTTTGTCAGCTAGTTCTTGGTGAATAATCTTTCCTACTGAGTCATGGCGTTCTTTATAATCAGTACCGACAAATGCCTGGCAGCCACCGGTAAGATGTTGGATGGTTTCTTGGGCTTGGCATCCATATCGGCATTTGTCATTTTGGACTTGAGGATCTTTAACAATATATTTCAGGTAATTTTTAGTTGGAATAACCTGATCCTGAATGGCAAGTAGGAAACCCTCAGTCTCGGGAAACATCTTTCCTGATGTCAACCAATAGTTCGACGCTGTATTGTCGACATATTCTTGGTTGATCTCATTGAGATGTCGCCCATGCAGAGGTTTACTCATCCAGGTGCGCATTTTTTCTTGCTGAGTCAGGTGGTTTATGCGCATTTCTTGTTCCCTCAGTTTAAGCGGCGTCGTATCATATACTGCGCAAATTGCTCGATGTAAAGTAGATGTCTCAGCCTGTACCTGAAAATAAAGTCTTAGATTAGCAATTTGTTTATCTAATTGCTAAAGTCCTCTTCCAACTTGATACCGCGGTAATGTTGTTCTCTCTACTGCACTACGTGGATGATGTTTTTGCGCCTTTGTGAGAAGTGTTCTTACTTTCCGCTGAAGACCCTCTATATCCGTTTTTGACCACTTTATAATACCAAATGAGTAGCTCAGCGCAGAACAGGCGTACGTATTTAATGCCTTAAACAAATTTTTACTATTAAGATATGACCAATTTAGTTGTCTTACTCTTCGCACGAACTCCGAAGTTAGTTCCGTTTTCATTTGTTTATGGTCAATTTTACGTGCCTGTTTTACTCCGAGATATTTGTACATATCATTTTCACCCATTGCCTCGATGTTTTGGCCATCTTGCATATCGAAACCTCCAGGCTGAACCTTTCCTCTGACTATATTTAGTATACGGCACTTGCCTAGTCCAAAATGCATACTGATGTCATTTGAGAAATTTTCTACAGTTTTTAGCATCTCATCTAGGTGATTTCGGGTGGAAGCCATTAATTTTAAATCATCCATATACAACAGATGATTAAGCTTCGCTACAACGGTGTTGTTATTTTTGATGCTAAATCCTGAGTCAGTAGAG